TATATGATGCAATTGTTGTGGTGACTAAATGACCTAATATGTGTAAGGCATCCAGCATAAAGCTTGGCACTCATTTTATTGTTGTTGTGCTGCTCCTATTGATAACATTCTGCTACTGTGGGATGTAAAGGGAAAATCCTTCTAAACGCCCTTGCTTCTTCATGGAGGGGCAATAGTTGCTTTTTGATGATAAATCTTAGGTACCCTGGAAACAAGGGTTGAAAAGACTTTAAGTAAATAGAAAGCAAGCAAGCAGCCAAGCCTGAGTTTTTCTTAAAAATGTAACCTTAAATTTTTAAACAGATCAAGATTTCAATGGAACTCTGAAGAGACATAGTTATCTATTAGTATATTACCAAATCAAGAGCTTCTGCATATTGAAAATTTCTAAAACATCTAATCTGCTTTCCCCTTTTCTGTTTCTACTATTACATATTTGCAAGAAATGCAAATGTTGTTGAAGTGATGGAAAGGCAAACAATACCAGTAATGAATGAACTTGAATCAGTACATTTTATGATCAGTGGTATAGCTTTGCTCAATGAGTAAAATAATTGTTTGCTTCATACTTCAGAACAAGTGAGTCCATTTAATATTCTTTATTTAAAGGGAGTCATTCTGTGAGTTGGAGAAGAACTGGCATTATTATTCTGTAGTTTTTCAGTGTGAAGTTATCTTTGATGAGGATATATTTGAATGCAGTTGATTATTTTTCAGCTGCAAGGCAATATATACGATTGCCACTAAACATGCTTTCAATATCATTATTCTAAAGTGGAGATATCTATAAAAATTAATTGGTTTGCAATGACTTCTCTCTGTCCTGTCATCTGAGAACCAATTTGATTTGTTAAATACCAAGAAGATTTCTCCAATTTGTAATGTATTTCAAGACTAAATGTATTCTAAGATGTCTTGTGATTAAGAATCATTAAGACCCCAACAAAACTATAATCAGATTGTTTTAAGTGGAGATTTGAGGATCAAATTTTCAGGTGTATCCAGCTTCAGAAGAAAAAAACAAAACAAAAACAAACCAATAAAACCAAGCAGTTCAATTTCAATAAAGTATTTGATTTCACAGAAAAGCAAAGAGCTTTAAATATTAGAGACCTACACATATCCCCCAATACTGTAGAGATTGGAGATTTATAATAGCAGGCAAAGAGATGCAATAAAGTGCTTTGGGCTTATCCCTTTTCACCCAGGTTTCATTATTTATTATGAAAATAACACATTCACAGAATTGGAAAACAAGAATAAAATAAACTTCCTATCACCCCAGATTCTAAGCTGCCAACTACTTGTTATAATTCTTAAGAAAATCTCAACACATAGGCAAATGTATGTGTATCCTCTTACCTACATAATGAGGAAATATACACAATTCTATACTTCAGTTTTCACTTAAAATGTTATCTGAGAGATTTTACTACAGTTTTATATGTGGAGAAACCTCATTGCTTTAAAAAGTGTCATAGTATTCCAGCCTAGGAATGAACAAACAGCCTTTGATACAGTACTGTAACAAGGGTATAATGGACAACCTTGCATGCAATCTTTTATCTTTAGACTGTCTAAATTTGTAATTAGTGAAGAAAAGATATATATATATATATATATATATATATATATATATATATATATATTTAAATATTGATAGATATTTTCAAACTTCCTTCAAAAAAGTTGTACCAATCTTATCAATAAGGTATGAGATATTCTCTATCCACTCCTTCAGCATTGTATACTTAATGCCTGTTTCGATCTGGACAGCATCTCCTTAGATGCCTGGTAATCATTTGCATTTCCCCCTGTATCTCCATGTTCAAACTCTGCTGAATTTTCTAATAGGTTGCTGATCTTTTGATTAAATATTTTTCCAGAGAGGGAGGAATGTTGAAGGGCTGGATGGAAAAGGCAAATGGATTAAGCAAAACAAACAAACAAAAACCCACATAAATATAAACAACAGTATGGCTAATATCAGAGGGAAAGGAGGTTAGAGGGAGGTAGAAGAGGGTCAGGGGAGGATAAATGGGAACAGAAGGAGACTTGACTTGGGTGAACACATAGTACAATATACAGATGATGTACTGTAAAATTGTGCACCTGAAACCTGTGTACTTTTATTAGCCAATATCACCCCAATCCTATATAATAAAAGCATGGTGTGCAAATTGTCTCCTCTACTGGAGTTCTGGGAGTTTGACCAGTGGGCACACAGGGCCAGCCAGGGGAAGGGAGGGAGTACCCAGCCAGCAGCTGTTTGGGACCCTGCGAGTGCATTAATTTCATGCATGGGGTCTCTAGTAAATTTAATAGAAAAGAGAGATAGTTATATGTTAATTAAATTAGCCCTTTGATTTATGTATGTTCACAGATATAACCAGGTGTTTTTTGTATGCTTGTTTTAGGTGTTTTTGTTTGTTTATTTGTTTGTTTGCTTTGCTTTTTGCAGACGGAGAGTCTGTACCTTGGCTTTGTGGTTTTCTTTGGATGTTCAAATTAATAATCTATAATAATAAAAGGGCAATACGCTAATTAGACAAGAAGTCATTCCTAACAAAGCTGGGGCCAGAAAGGAGCCAGCCTGGGTCTCAGGTATCTGCCAGTGGCCAAAGGAGGGAAGACTGGGTCCTGGGTTCCAGAGGAAAGCAGTGCCAACAGTCAGGGGAAGGAAGGCCTACTCTTGCATGAATGTTTGTGCATTGGGTCGCTAGTGCTTTCTCATAAGGCTTCTCCATGTTATCTTCATTAAAAAGGCTTTGTCCACCACTGAAACCGATCAGCCAACCAACCAACCAATTGAATTTGTCTCCTAGTGATGATGGTGGTAATGATGACATTAAAGCCCTAAAATCTATAATTTATTTTAAATAGATTTTTATTGATTTCAGAAATGAAGGGAGAGGGAGAGAGCAATAGAAACATCAATGATGAGACAGAATCATTGATCAGCTGCCTCTGACTCTCCCTACACCGGGTTTTGAGGCCAGAACCCAGCAAGCATCCTGACCAGAAATTAAATTGTGACCTTTTTTACTTTTCCACCTGCTTACCTTGTGGGTTGAAAAATCATCTTTATTGCATTGTAAAATGTCTTAGAAGTTTGAGTATTCTCTGGTCAGACATTCTCAATATCAAAGTATTTTTGTTTTTATTTTGAAAACTAGAGGCCCAGTGCATGGAATTCATGCATGGGTAGGGGTCTTCTGGCTCCAGCTGGGGCCTTCCTTCATTCTATGCTGCCAGCTGTCATAGTGAGCAATTGAACTCCATATCTCCCAGTGGAATTCCTCAGGGGTCACTTTACATATTAGTCATATATATATATATATATATATATATATATATATATATATATATATTTCTATGTAGACATTTTCATTAATTTAGAAAAAAAAAAGCCTAAATATGTTTGTGACTCTCATTTTAGCTTTTATGATTTCCTTCTTTTCTTATTACCATTAAAACTTCTGTGTTTGAAATCTGTACAAATAAATGAGCTAAAACAAATAAAACTCAATTCACTTGAGATTTTGAAGACATCTGGTGCAGTTATTTTCTGAGTAATTAGCCAAGAGGTGGGACAGTTCCCTAAAGTCAGCTACTGTAGAGTTGGCTACCCAGTCATTTCTGTAGTCATCAGCTCGCATGCAGTGAGCAATCGATTCACAAATTGACAAACAATGGCATAGAGCTGCCACCTGAGTTTTCTCAGTCCATTTGTGTTACAGAAATATATGCCTCACATGTGTTTTAGAAAGATGAGTCTTCTCAGCCTGCCGACAGTCTATTTCGTTATGTCCCATCACCTCAATATACTCTTTATGTTGTAAGAGACATTGAAAGTGGACCCCCCTCAAGTGTTGGTCTTTGTTTGCCCTTGGTTAATCCCATATTTGGATACAAATATGATCAATTAAATTTTTGAAAATATATATCCATATTTAATAATGAAAATGAAGATATTTCAATGCTTCCACGTTTGTTATATATGGCACTCTTTAGCTTGGAAATATGGATCAGTGAAGTTTCAATATTTAAAATACATGTCTTCATCTTATAAAATCATAGATCTGGAAGTAATCCGAAAGTTCACATTGTTATTCTCCCTACTGGAAAACAAAAACACTTAAACCACTGCAGAAAGATATGTATCTTTCCAATTTAAAATAACTCTAGGAGATTCCACAACTCTCTTAAGTTTCCCACTGTGGAGTAAATAATTGCTATCAAGAAAGTTTCCTTTATAGCCAATCTAAATTTCACAGGTTATTAAAATCAACTTTATCTTCTCTATGCTTTTATTATTACTGTTAATAATATGTACAGAGCAATGCAAGCAGGAGTTTTAAGGATGCCAGGAGCAAAGATACGCTGATCAAGATGCATCTTGATAGATGGTGACTGCACTCACCGTTGCTCCTCTTTTCAATCTATCCTACCTCTATTCTCAACCACTCTCTATTCTCAATCACCCTCAGTTTAACTTTAGCTAAGCTAAATTATTAGGATTCATTCTTGAGATGTAAGTTAAGAATATAGGATACTTTGAATCTATAACATTTTAGATTGTTTGAAAAAATATAAGGAGAAATTATCCATGTGAATTAACATTAGAGAGTCATGTACAGAAGTACAATTTATCCAGAGTTGAATATATTCCACAATCACAGGCTATTTAGACCTGACACCAGTCTTGACACAAAAGTGAAATCGAACAGCATCTTTCACTAAGGCATTTGCCACTTCTTTAGTCTATTAATTTTCATTATTTATCTTAGCATGAACCGTGTTTTAGTTCCATGTAATTCAACAGTAATCAAGTCAAGACTTATCACATTTTTCTTTGCAATGCATGAAAGATCACCAAATATTCAAACTTTTGGCCAAAGAATAACACAATTTTTGTTTTACTAATTCAAAGGACAGCATGACATGCTAAAGTAGTAAGTGGATCTGAAATAGTAGTCCTAATGCAATGGCAAACTTACCAGAGGTTTCATCTACTCTCTCATCTACTATGTGGTCCTTCTGATGAACCCACTCACTGTTGCACTTGAAGTAGATCTGGGTGGCGGGGCTGGCTTTACAATACAGATTCACAGGCTTGTTCTTCACAATATAAGCTTCTTCAGGCTCGATCAAGAAGTGTGGCAAAGGTTCCGGGGGGTCAGATGGAAAAGTTTCTGGCAGTTCATGAAAAAAGTCATCATCTGGTAAAACAACAAGAAAGTAGAAAATGTTCAAAATATAGTAAACACCTGCATTTTACTTGTCACATGCTTAAAAATAATGCATTGTAATCTAATTAAGCAATTTGAATGATTGCTATGCACAGGCAGTACACTAGGTCTGTTGACTGGCTACTCAACTAAGGATTTAGATTATTCTCAATTTTAGGCATGGCAGAACTCAACATCGGGGAGAACAAATGTCTTGCCCTCAGCACAAAGGTAGGAAATAGCAGAAATGCCATCCTGACCCAGGTTTGTCTTCCGCTAGAACTGTGATCTTCCAGCTAGAGTACCACACCTCCCACTACACAGTGTTACCCTTGAGGGTTGATAAGAGCAAAAGCAAATTTTGAAAAATCCTTTTGAAAAGTACAAGCTTCATAGGTAAATCTTTGCAAGGAGCTGAGAAGAAATATTAGAAACATGAATTAAGGGTCAAATCTACCATTATTTTTAAAAATGCACCACATGACATATTCATTCATTCAACCACAAATATTTATTGAGTTCAGAATTATGCTAAGTACTAGAAATATAGATGATAACTTCAACCCAGGCAACAGGAGAGCCACAAAAGAACCTAGAATCAAGCAATACTGCTTAATCTTAATTTTAAACTACACCTCAAATATCATATGTGATATATGAGTAATCAAACCTATTTTCATTATATTACTAAATATTATTATGAAGAACAATAGTCTCATTTTTATATCACTGAAAATTTTCAAGCATATTGCTGTCACATGCTATTCCAACATTGATGAATATGCAAAACCTAAAACCCTTGAGATATTTGCACATTTGAAGGTACATTCTCTTTTAATCTGGGTTACCCATAATTCCAAAATAAAAAAATAATAATATAAGTGCCTTAAAAAAATCCTATTACATCTCATGAAAGTGAAATTAAAAACAAATAGTCTTCCAGCCCAGCCCGTGTGGCTCAGTGGATTGAGTGTCATTCCATGCACCAAGAGGTCATTGGCTTGATTCCTGATCAGAGCACATGCCTGGATTGTGGGCTCGTTTCCCAATAGGGGAGATTCAGGAGGTAGCAATTGATATTTCTCGTCAATGTTTCTCTATCTTCTCTCCCTCTCCCTTACGCTCTCTCTCTAAAATCAATAAAAAATGTATTTTTTAAAGAGAAGTCTCCCCATACACTATAAATAAGTTAAGTCTAATATAATAATTCTCTTCTTCTGAGGGACAGAGGAGACTAAATTTATTATTAATTCTCTATGTTTATTAAGCACCCCAGGCTATATGTAAATTTAAAACTCTGAGGTCAAAATTAAAAGTTTTTACAAGTCCTATTTAGTATGCATACTCAGTAGCAAATAAAGGGCATGGTATTGGTAAAGACTGATTGCTCAGATGTTACCTTGAATCTCTCATTTCATCGGGCACTCAGTTGTTGACCTGTTTTGGCTGACAGCCATTGACTATGTGGATGCTTGTCCACTAAGGACCCTGGCCTGGACTTTTCATGTAGATCATGGGATAGCTGTCAATCAGTAATGTACCCAGTCTTTGCCTATTTGTTTGGCAGTAAAAATTGGCTTTACTTGCATCACAGACAAAACTAGCTTTCAAAGCTGCTCTATAATGATAAATTCCTGACACTGGATGTCAATGACATTCCCTGTGGCTAGCTTCCTTTCTCACTTTAGTTTTTTAATTTGCTTTCTTTAGGCACAGCATCATTTCTGGTTTTTCTATTGTTCAACAGCAGGATCCAAACTGTTAGAGAACCACAGGATAACTTTGCCTCTGTCAATTTTAGCTGCTTTGGTCAATATGCAAGAACACTCAAAACTGCTTAAACAAACAATAGTTCAGAAAGGCATAGGAATGGGGAGTTGAGGTATTAGATCCATCAGCACGGAGCTGATGTCTTGAAGGCATTGTTCAATTTTTTTCTTTTGAAGCACTTCCTGTTGTATGTAATGACAGACTGCAGATAATCAATAAAGCTTTATAAAATATCAGACTCCAATTCTGTAAAATGTTAGCTATTGTTTTTAATTATTGTTCATAAAGGCAGAGGGTCAATTATATTTATTTATACTATTGGTATATGTTCAGACACATAAGAACTTGCACATGCCTTCCATAATAATATATTTATTTAGGTATGCAAAATATAAAAAGCCTTCCAAGTCATTGATTTAGAAGGTGAGACTTGTTCCTTTAGAAGGAATGATGATTACAAGACATCTGAAGGTTATATATCTCCTGATAGTATTCAATAATGTAACAAAAGTACTTATACATTTACATTCTACAGAAAGATAGAGAGGCACTAAACATTGATTACCCTGTCTTGCCAAAGTATGTATTTCTTTTTTCTTATTATTTACTGTAAACTACTGTGAGTCCTAAGGAAAGCTGAGGAAGCCACACATATGTCTTCAAGTCAAAAGAGACACTGTTAAGTTCAGGGGGGGAAAAGTAATTATTCAATAATGTACTTTTAAAAAAAATATGGACAAACTAACTTTGTATTTCCTTAATTTTGGGTTTTAAGACAAAAGGATTACTACAAGTAAAGAAAAATAATTTCTATGTCTCGGTACGAGGCTTTATAAGGTGTTGATTTTTCAATGTGCTTACTAACATTTAAGGTGCAAGTTATAATAGGATTTCTATCATTTGAAATGTTTTCGTCATATAGTAAATCCAGTGTTTCTTTTGCATATCATTCTAGCTCTGCAGGAATCTCATGCCTTAAATTTGATCTAGAAAGATACGTTAACTAACCACAGCATATTAGCTTATTAATATTTCTTATAATATGCATACAGTATATTTAAGTCTATGCTCTAGTTCCGAGTTTGGCAAGCTGCAGCTCACAAGCCACATGCGGGCTCTTTGGCCCATTGAGTGTGGCTCTTTCACAAGTTACCATGGACTGGGTGAGTCTATTTTGAAGAAGTGGTATTAGAAGAAGTTAAAAAAATTTGGCCCTCAAAAGAAATGTCAATTGTTGTACTGTTGATATTTGGCTCTATTGACTAATGGGTTTGCCAACCACTGCTCTAGATGAATATGACACATAATTTCTAGTACTTAATTCAGGTGTTGGGAATGAAATTTATGAAGATAATTTTTGAGATTCTGTGTCAGTAAGGTATGTATTGTGGAAGAGATATAACAAAAGGCAAATGGGCTGTTCAGGAATCTCTCACTTCTTCATTCACCACTGTTAGCCTGGATACCCTGCCCAACCATGGAAATCGGCCCAGATAACTGCTCCCCAGCCTTCAGGTTAAGCCTGCTAAGTGAACACTTTCCTTGCTTTAGACAAACATGGTGTGAGCATTAAATTTAAAATGGTATTTCAGAAATTGTATTTTTATGAAATGTACTCTGGAATTTTTTTCTAGAGTAAGTTTTAAAAATCAAACAAGCAACCCAATTCTCTTCAACTGAACATATAAAGGAAAACTTCTGAGTGTTTAAATAACCAGCATGGTTACATCTATATGTATTTATCAAGGAAAAAATGACCCTAGCTAAATGCCATTTGTATTTAGCAAGACAAAAAGGACCATGTACAAATTCCTCTTCAGGGACACTTAGTTCCTCTGCATTATGCATTTGCCTGGCGCATATGTGGAAGAATCTACTTCTCAGTTTTTGCAGCCAGTTTTATGAAACTATTCCCAATTTTCAAAAGCCAGAACTATACAGAAACAAGGTCTTCACACTAGAATAAATGCTCTTTGAAGGCGGAGACTATGTTGTTTTCATGTTTACTTTCCATAAGTCTGGCATAGTACCGGGCACACTACCGCAGGTCAATAAAAATCTTGTAGAAGCATAAATATTATGACAACTTTGATCATTCCTAAAAGATTCACAAGATATTTTAGAGCTTAGAATGCCTCAAATTTGCCAAGACCAGTTTGACTCAGTGGATAGAACATTGGCCTGCAGACTGAAGGGTCCCAGGTTCGATTCTGGTCAAGGGCATGTACCTTGGTTGCGGGCACATCCCCAGTGGGTGTGCAGGAGGCAGCTGATCGATGTTTCTGACCCTCTATTTCTCTCCCTTCCTCTCTGTAAAAAATCAATAAAAGATATATTAAAAAAAGAATGCCTCAAATTCAGTACAAATATAGTATTATAACAATAACATCTACAAACTAACTGGCTATGAAATTTGTGTGGCCCACTGCAGAGTGAAAATCCGGGAAACCTTGTTAAAAATGTATTAAGAATTCAGAGGTAATGATGACAGAGCATTACATCTCACTCAAGTCCTGGGTGACAGGACTGGCCCCAAAGCCCAGAAGCTAGCTCTGTCTGCAATGTCAGTTACTGTGCCTTCTACTTCCCAAGATGTCTGAGAAATGACATTATATCTCTGTTAGTGAATATTCATTTTGGAATGCATTTGGTATTTCTCAGGTTCTTAATGGTGATTAGATGTTTTCTGGAAGAAGACATGGCTTTTCAAAGTATGAAACTGAGACTCCAATCAATTCTCTAAGCATGGGTGTCTGCAATGGTGTGCAAGTGAAAGCGTGCGGTTTTATCTGTTCATCTTTTCCTTTTGGATGTACCTGAGTGCCCATCTTGAGCCTGATCCAAAACAAGAAATCCCTGCCCTACTGAGGGAAACTCTGTCAAGTCACTAGGGGACTGTAATACAAGGAATAATGAGCTTGGAGAGTCTTCTTTGAACTGTTTACTAAGATCAGTTCGTTGCATGAACTTCATTTTATTGTACTAGTAAGCCAACTTTCTGATATTAAGATCGTGCTGAAAACCTGGATGCTATAAAATAATGATTTAATTTTTAAGTAGGCAGAACATTGAGTACTTCCTATTACCACTTTATTTCTTTAAAAAATATATATATATTTTTTTATTTCAGAGAAAAAGGGAGAGAGAAAGAAAGGTAGAAAGATCAATGATGAGAGAGAATTATTGATTGGCTGCCTCCTGCACGCCCCTACTGGGGTCAA